ATGTCAGTTGTAAACACATAGAGGCCACTCTTCTTCTTTATTGCCTCCAACTGCAGCAAGCTTCAGTCCAATCTCTCCAAATGGGGTTGATTTCACAGTGCAGAGCCCTAGGTTCATGAGACACCTGACCTAATTGTTCTGACTTTATTTGCAACCCTCACTAACTTGATAGCTAACTTCCTTCCCTGTGTGCTTGAGTTTTCTACTTCTTTAGCTCCCATAAGACATGTTCACATCTCCCTACCTGGTTCTGGAGATGACTTGATTTTTTTTTTTTTTTTGTGAGGAAGATCAGCACTGAGCTAACATCTGATGCCAATCCTCTTCTTTTTGCTGAGGAAGATTGGCCCTGAGCTAACATCCGTGCCCGTCTTCCTCCACTTTATGTGGGACGCCGCCACAGCATGGCTCTACAAGCACTGCGTCGGTGCGCACCCGGGATCCCAACCGGCAAACCCCCGGCCGCCGCAGCGGAGCACGCGCACCTAACTGCTTGCGCCACTGGGCCGGCCCCTGGAGATGACTTTAATGCCATTCTTAGGTCCTTTGCTCCTTTATGTAATTGATTTTTAACTTCTCCTATCTTTATTTCTTGATTTTACAGATGAAATTCCATTGCATCTCCACTAGTCCCTCTCCCCTCTCTAAGTTTGTTGCCTAGTTTCTTCATAGGTTTCTCCATTACATGTCAGTTTAAATCCGTGCCACGCTTCTCTTTCTAGGGCAGGAGTATAACTGCTTTTGTTGTATCCTGCACCCCTTTCACGTCTTTGTATGGTCCTGAGGCCACTGCATGAAGACAATGCTAAAGGCTGTGAGAAGGAGCTTGGCGAGTCTGGGAACAGAACGAGGCCCGGGGTGGCTGCAGCGTAGTGGTCAGTGTGGAGCATGGGCAAAGATGAGAGGGTGGGGGCCAGATCACGTTGTGTCTTTTTGCCGTGGAATAAAGTCTTTGGGTTTTATTCTAAGCTCTTTGGGAAGCCATTGGAGGGTTTTAAGTATAAAAGAGTATAAATTATGTCTTAAAAAAATCTTTCTGGCTACTCCCATGTGGATTGTACAATGGATTGTAAGAAAGTAGTGATGAAGAGATGGGTTGGGAGACCATGGCTTGAGTCTGGGGAGAGGCAGTGATGCCTGGGACTAGACAATGTGAAAGATGTTGTGTGGGGTGACACTAATTTGGAAGGTGGTCCATGAATGCTTATGGCTTGGCTCTAAGGAAGGGCTGTATCACTAGTTAGAAGAAAAGGAACTAAGAAAATTACTGATATTTGCCTCCCTAGTTAGGTATAGATTTTTGTCATTTGGGAACCAGGATGAAGGAAGTTTGTCATTGCTGTGTATTTTTAGTAAGGTCTAAATGGCATTCATGCCTCTCCTTCATACTTCTGTGCCTTTACAAGGACTTTCTTCTGTGCCCCTTTGGAACCCTCTGGCATAGATCTTTAAGGCATGAAATGCCCCTATGGCACATATGTGTATGTGCTAGAGCAAATTCTCCCATAACACACACAAAGTGGCTACCACATATTACCTTTCCTCTCCACTATATTGATGTGACCACTGTCTTGCTTGAACATCTCCTACCACATCCTCTGGGTGTCTGTCGCCACTGTGGTGGGATAAGGAAACATTATTCACAATTGGCATGGTTCCTTTATTCCCCAGAGAAGACACAAACTTTCAGCAGAATGGAAGAAAGAACCCAGGCAAAGCTTTAATGATCTTTTTTCATTTAAATTCCTACCATTCACTCATTTAGTTTTGACTCCTTGGTTATGACATCAAATAAAAAAACAAAAGACACAGGAAGGGTGATTTGTGTAAGCCTTGGGTATCCAGTCCAGAGTATTACATATAGATCAACATCAATGATTTGTCTGACAACTGCAGGTAAGTCACTGCTCTCTGAGGGTCCAGGAAATGACTCACTGGTGTTTAAGAGCCCCTTAAGCCAGCTGCGGGATGCTCGTGGTTCCTTGTCCTCTCCCTCTTCTCTCCCAGAGCTGGCCTCAGTTGGCAGTCAATGATAGTGCTCCTGGAACTTCCAACTAGCAGCTCCCTTGAGGGCAACAACAAAACCTGGCCTGGTGAACAAGCGACAGATCCTGAACTGCAGCTCAGCAGATATGCCCTACACATTGCAAATGCAGATTAGCGTCTTAAATTGAAATCCTATCTTAGATTGAAATCCTAAACTTCCATACAGTACTGGAGCATTTAACTGCACGTAAGATTCACCTTGCTTATAGGTTTAATTTATTAGACCTATTCAATAAAAACAAATTAAGTGCATAGGAAGATTTGTGTATTATCAGACAATTGTGTTCTGTAGTTTAGAATGTTTAATTAAATTTGTAAATGAGACAAAGCATTAATTGAAGAGGCCATTAAAAGTGATCTTTAAAAAAATCTCGGGGCCAGCCCCGTGGCTTAGTGGGCCCCGCTGCTGGCGGCCCTGATTCGGATCCCGGGTGCGCACCAACGTACCACTTCTCCGGCCATGCTGAGGCCGCATCCCGCATACAGCAACTAGAAGGATGTGCAGCTATGACATACAACTATCTACTGGGGCTTTGGGGGAAAAATAAATAAATAAATAAAATTATAAAAAAATCTCCTTTAGTTATGGATGCATATTGAAGTATTTACAAGTGAAATGAAATTTGCGTTAAGATACCTCCATGGGGAAAATATGCTGATATGAGGGGAACAGTTGAAATTAAATGAACAAAATGTTAATAATTGTTGAAGCTAGATGTTGGGTATGTGAGGGTTATACACTAGTCTCTCTATGTTTAAAATTCCAAAAGAAAAAGTTCAAAGAAAAAGTTCTAAAAAAAAGTTCAGAGTGATTGTTAAAATTTTCTCTAAACAACTTTGAAGTTCATGGAATCCTGCATTCTTCTCATATTCTTTGTCTGGTAGGGACACACATCTCTTACAGATGACATCTAGTTGGCTCCTGGCTATTTTTCATGGTTTTCTGTGGTTCTGTAGTTACAGTTTTAAGATGTTTGTAATGACATGATTCCAGATGCTTTATCCTTTGTCGCACTGCCTCTAAGAAGCTACTGTTGGTAATTGGTTATATTTTTCATAAATATACTTTTCTAGCCATATTGTAGAACCTTTGAAGGCAGGGATTTTTAAAAATAATTCTTGGCACCTCCAGCCCAGTCATGACCACATGTAGGCTGTAGGTTGTGGATGAAGATTTATGGTGTTTACTTTATATCTATCTATATCCATGTATTTTTTGTCTGTTCTTTTCTATTTTTCCTTTATACTAAATGCATGTTTGTTGGTGATGTAATGCATATGCCTTAGGCGTAATTTTAGATTTAAGGATTTGGGCTCAGGAGTTTGACTCTTTCTGTGACTTTGGGCAAATTACTTAACCTTTCTAATCCTCAGTGTCCTCATCTGTAGAATGGGCGTGATTATGGTAGTTCTGACCTCTTAGGGTGTCAGTGAGGATGAATTAATGTATGGGAGAAAAAAAAAAGTGTGCTATTATAAATATTAGCTATTATTTCTAGCCAAAAACCTCTTTGTAGCACTTTTTTTTAACAATTCTCTCTCCTTCATTCTGAATTTAGAGCTTTCATTTGAAAATATATTCTTAATATAATATTATCATATTAAGATATTCTGTTGCGGATTTTGAAATGACTTTTTGTCCTTGTGTTTGGATTTTTAGTTCACATGATTATCTTACATATCTCCTCATACCGACAAATTAGCTAGAATCTCCCGGACTGTATTGAAGCATATGAGGAACAGGAGGATTACGAACAGTGTGATTAAAATCACACTCTAATTTAGACTAGTTTGGCAGGAATTGAAGCTCAGGCAAATCATCTCTCTTCTAATATCATCTTTTTTTTTTTTTTTTTGGCAAATCGCAGATTCAAGTGCTAATGACAGTCTTTCAAAACTGGTAATTCAGAAAGACAAGTTTTTATGTATTTTATGTATATCCTAGAAAGATATAGAATGTTTCAGTATGATTATAATTATGTGGAAAATACCTATGCATCAAAATTTCTGATAGGTATTATCTCCAAAGTATTAGTAGCTCCGTTATTCAAATGGCAGGGTTAAGAGCAACTTTTTTCTCTTTGTAGAAATTTTGCATCTTGTATTTTCCAAATTTTCTTTCATAACCATTTCCCACATTAAAATGAAAAACATATTAGCATGGTATTTTTTTAAACTTGTTTCTCTGGAGGGCTTGTTTTCAAAGTTAATAAAAAATTTGGAATTTATTTAAAGCTTTTTGGCTGCATGGTATTTTAATAGATTTAAATCTTTATTTCCTCATCACATGTGTGTGGTCATGTTACTAATCAACGAAATAACCGTTAGGGGCTTGCTTCACAGAGAATCCATTGAGTTTGATTTGTGATTCAAATAAGAATGAAGATTCATATATTAATGTGCTTAACATTATATGTGCCTCATGCTCTTTATAAAATGGGGGATAGGGCATGGAAAGAACACAGAAGGTTCTTCTAGCTCTAAAATATTATAAATTAAAAAATTTTCATACCCAGTGATTTTCCTAATGCTTTTTTATAGGTACTGGGATGACCTAGGGAAAGTGGCCCTCATCTCAGTCAGATCAAGCAGAACATTGTAGATTCTGTTCTTCCTTATGTCAGAAGGATGCTGTCAACAGAGACAGTGGTATTCAGTCTCAGCTTCTGAAGATTCTAACTAGTATTTCAAAATAAAATGCAGAGCTAATGCTGAAGAAGAGACTCCCTTTGCAATAAAGATTTTTGCAAAGCAAATGATTTTTGAACTATGATTCTAAACTGCCATGATCATTTCTCATTGCAAAACCAAATTAGATCAAGGAGTGGCTGGCAGACTTTAGCTCAAGGATGCTGCCTGTGTTGAGTGCATACCAGTCGACCACCAATTCATTGATGATTCATGGTGGTTTTGGAATAATATATTTTATAAAATGTCTTTCTTGTTTTATTCAGGTTATACTGGAGAGCTTTGCCAATCCAAGATTGATTATTGTATCCTAGACCCGTGCAGAAATGGAGCAACGTGCATTTCTAATCTTAGTGGATTTACTTGCCAGTGTCCAGAAGGTAAATATTATAACCCCAAGAATAACTTTCATTTTCCATTTTAAACCATAAACTATTTTGATCAGTTTTGTATTTTAAATCTGAAAAACTCTATAAAAGAGAACTTCCTATTTTGTTCCATTTATGAAACAAAATATAAGATGATTCTCTTTTATTAAGCTCTTTGCTAGAATGGCTTGAAAATTATGTTTGACTATTAGACATAATCTAGGAATTTCTGTCACTTTTATATATACATTGAAAATGAATAGCTATTATCAAATGGAATTTCTTTCTAACGGTGAATTTCACTTTTTAAGATTCCTATTTTGTTAAATTATTTGGGTTTTGATACCAGATCACATAAAAAAAAAATTCAGCGTGTAGTTCATCTACTTTTGTTTTTAATCAACTTTATAATGTCTTAGAAACTTCAAGTCACCTGAAAACCTGTCTGTAGAGCTACTTTTATGTTTTGAAATAATTTTACGTTAGAGTAGTTTCCCCTGAAGAAGCAGAGAGATAATCACAGCTATCAAGCTGGTGTTCAAGGAATGATTTTGTACTTAGAGGAAGTTTTGTTCTTATTTCTGCTTGGAGGGACATTATGGAAGGGATTACTTTAAACCTTTAATGCTGTAAGAATAACATGATATTAGAGGGTTTTTTCCCCTTAAAACCAGCATGTAAGCTCCTGATCCACAAAAGTGACATTGACAACTACATAAAGTAGAAAGACATCCTCTGCAGAGGTTAAGTGTCGAGTCTGAGTGTGTCAGGAAATGTGTTTGTACTCAAAATTGCCCTGAACTGCCCCTGGCTGAGGAGCTGGAGGAGGGCAGAGGTACGGGATGAGTGTTGATACAAGACCACTGGCCACCCAGGTAACCTGAGGGCTCGGGGTTACCAGGAGCAGCCCCTGCAATCTGTAGCATCCCATAGTCTTTAATATTTTGAAGACCTGAGCATCAGCTAAAGAAGTGAATCTTGTCTTCTGGGTCCTGCTCACCTGGACAGGGGCAGGAGCGGGATGGCTGTGGCCAGCCTAGTTATCCCCCTCTCTAGCTGTATATGAATGTGGTTACCACAACAGTGGGTGAGCTCCCCTCTCGACCCTCCACTTGAGTCTCTTAAACAAATGAGAAAACTCTGAAATGTTGGAAGGGCTGATGACTGAGCAAGCAGTGCCAGTCGTCACTTGCATATTGAGCACTTAGTTTTTCACACTGTTGTCACACCCTGGGTGAGTCAGCTGCCACCTAACTCTGGTTGTGTGCTGTGCCTGTAGTCAAAGGCAGGCTTCAGGGTTACCGGCCGATTGACTGCTGGCAAATCATTAAATCCCTTCCCTCACCCAATCTTTTCCTTTTCTAGTGAATGTAGGAGATGACGGTACTGCTTCCTTCGCAGGGCCATCCTGAGACCAAATGGGATTTTTGTGAAAGAGCTTTGAAAACTCCAAAGTGCTTTATTATTGCTGATATGCTTGCTACCAGAAAGTAGCTCAATAAAGATGAGCTACTGTATCATGATTGTTGTCCTAATAATGATTACTATTGAACCATTGATGAATTTAAATGGGAATTGGAAATCTTCATTCTGGAACAGAGTGGAATGTAGATTGGAGAGAGACAAGAGTGGGAATAGGGGAAAAATTTGGGGACTACTGTAGAAGGCCCGAATGTAGATGTGGACTGCTGGGAAGAACAGGGTAGAATTTGAAAAGCAGAGAAGCTGTCGGAGTTGAGAGAACTTGGGAGGTAACCGGAGGGACTGGGGGATGGGTGGGATATGGAGGGTGAGGGAGAGTGAGGTGGCTGTCATTTTATGGTTGGCTGTACCATTCATGGAGAAAAAGAAATGTAGAGGAGAAGTGTTCTTTTCAGACACGTTGAGTTTGAGGGGTCCTTGTGACATTCAAGCGGAGATGTCAGCTGGGCAGTTGCTATCTGAGTCTGGAAGTGGGAAGAGAAGTCTGGGGCAAGTCTAAACACAGAGACATTAGCCTGTAGATTACAATTTAAACCTGGGTGTCAACGGGATTCACTAGGGACCTTCTCCTTTGTCCAGTGGCCTGTCCATTCCTCCATGCCTTCCAGATGAAGCCTAGAGAGAATGTGATGATCTAGAATTGAAAGAATGAAGACAAATTTCCCAGCAGTCTTTGTATGAAGACTTTCACCTTCATTGAAGACCGACCAGGGAAAGGGGGCTTGGTTATAGTTCTGAAGGATTCATTGCAGTGTTTTGAAGCAGGAGCACATAACTAGTGACCACCATTTTTGAAGCAGCCCCTCCCACCGGCTAACAAGGTGGTGGTTGTAGAAACTAAAATTTATAGAGCACTTTGCACTTTAAAAAGAGCCTGTGTCTCCAGGATCTTTCTCGTCAGCCACACTATGAAAAAAGTTTGGGGAGTGTATCAAGTCCACAAAATATTCTGGAGTTCTGAGCCAGCACTGAACCTTGCTGCCTGTTTTTCTTTCTTTCTTTCTTTTCCCCACAGTGGTTAACATATTGGCGTATTTGCTTTGTATGTATTTACGTATATAGTTTTTTTTTTTCCCAAGTAATTTGAAAGTAAATTACAGCTATCATGATACTTCATCCCCAAATAGATCAGTTCGTGTTTTCTGAGAATAAGGACATTCTTCTTCATATCCATGATACCATTATCACACCTAAAAATTAATAATTATTTCCTAATATTATTTCCTACCTGCCCCCTTTTCATTTACTCCTTTGCGTGTGTGCATTGATTCTGTCTCCCTGCTTCCCTGTGTTATCCTCTGAGGGCAGGAAATGTATTTTATTCATCTTTTCTCTCTCTCACCTGCTCCCAATACCCTACCCATGGAACATTTAGATCCATATTTTATGTTAGTAGGAGGTTAAGAAATATTGGCTGAATAAATTAATTATAAAAGTCAACACTTAGATATCATTCACTATTTGATCCTCACAACAATCCTGTGAAGCAGATACTATTAATATTTCCGTTTAACAGATTGGGAAACTGAGGCACAAGAGGATTAAATAACTTGTCTGAGATCACATAGCTGGAGATTTAAATCCAGGCAACTTGGCGCTAGGATTCTTAACCGTTGTCCTATACCATCTCTGAATATTCTTTATAATAAATTCCATTTTGTTTACTTTTAAAGATTATCTTTGTAACTATAGTCATGAATGAAATAAATGCAGAGTTGTTGGGTTCTAAAGCTTCTAAATGTCCCTGCTAAAAATTTTTAAGTCTGGAAAAAGCCAGAAGAATATTTTTGGAAAAAGCCGGAAAAAATTTTTTTCTGTTTTTTTCTTTTTTTTTGTGAGTACGGTGAAATCCTTTTACAACAGCCCCTCCCTGATTGCTCACTCTAGTCCAGAAAGCTGGATTTTTCCTCTGGATAGTGCTTTCAACATTGTGCGTTCACATCCTTGCTCTTTCCATCCTTTTCATCTTCATCCTAGTTCCTTCAAGGATCCTTTCCATCTGATCTGGGCCGAGTCCTTAGAGGCTGACTTCCTTCCTGGGTACCCATCTCTTTGACTTTTGCCTTCTTTTTAACCTTTTTCCAAAAGTTCAAAGTCAGGCAGGCCTGAGAGACAGCTTGTGCAGTAATTACCGCTTAAGCTCTCCTTCTAGAAGGTTCCACGCTTCTCCTACACTTAGATTTTTATCCTTCATCAACGAGTTGTGTCTTTTCTTTGAACTTCTACTTAACTTTCACTAAGTCCATATTTGAAAAATGCAGTTTCAAGTTCTGCTTAGAGTGGGGGCGATAAAAACAAAAGTAAAAATGTCATGAGTGTTTTATACTTAACTTATTGAATGATGACAACAAAGATGAGTAATTAGAAGCTGGTTTTACTGCCTATGTATTTAGTCTTTACATTGATATTGTCTTTATGTTTGGTTTAGAACTTTGAGGTCCTTAAATTTTAAACTAAATGCATTTTAATTCTGAAGATGCCTAATTATATATATTTACCATCACTGCCTGTTGGTATTTAAATATGTATATTTAAATATATGAGTATATTTAAATACATATATAAATAAAATCTGAATATTACTATCTAGCCATCGTCTTTGCTTCAGCATCTCAATTTTTATTTTCTTCCCCTTAGGAATTTGAAGTAGAATACTACATAAGTTAATAAGGAATAAAAAGAAGTCAATAGTGATTAAAACATTTAGCAGTAAATCACATGTGTGACCATTCACATCATGCAGGGCACATCAGATGGAATCTAATCATCTTCCTGGCATCTACCTATTGTAGAAGGCATATGGTAATCAGAGACTAAAGTGAGAATATGGGGCTTCATGACTATTTTCAGAAAATATTATTTTGTCCAATGTATTTTAAAAGCATTAATGTAAAGACATTTTCTAGTATTACACCTTCTGATAAGATTATGGATACATAGAATTTGTATGAACTGCTCTTGCACTACAATTATGAAGGCAAATATTGCAACTGGGCAGAGGATTCATTCTTTTCAGTCCTATAACTGTTAGGAAAGCAACACTGGATTCCACTGTCAGATACACAGCTCTTATAGCTTGGGAACTCCATCATTGCCATGTGTGGAGAGTTGATGTCCTTCTCTGGCCTGGAGGTCAGTCTGAGTCTGGCCTGACGAGGCGGGAGAGTGGAGTGGTTACGAATGTGGCTTTTTAGGGTCACATTGCTTGGGTTTGAAGTCTGGACCCACCTCTTTTACAGCTCTTTGCTTCTCTGAGGCTCATTTTCCTCACTTAGAAAATGGGAAGATACTAGTACACCCTTTATCAGTTGATGTGAAGCATAGAAAAAGCCCTTAGCACTGCGCTCGGCAAAGAGTAAGTGCTGAATAAGTGTTAGTTATAATGATGATGGTGGTGATGACAATGGTGAATTTGGTCATATCAGCTTGGGTGACTCATAATTTTGCTCTTTTCCAGCCATTGTTACCTTGTAAAATGATGCGGGTTGAGTATTACCTTTTTTTTTTTTTGTATATATATATATATATAT